CTTGAAAGATTCTTTTGTTTTATATGGAAATAATGGATGCACGACTTTGTTTCTTTTATATTATTTTACTGGATTATGTGTAATCCATTTTGTAGTAATAGAACAAAATGTTCTATTCAAATTGTTTTCCTGTAGTAATTTTGTAGTAATAGGACAAAATGTTCTATTCAAATTGTCTTCCTGTAGTAATTCTATAGTAATAGAACAAAATGTTCTATTCAAATTGTTTTTCCTGTAGCAATTTTGTAGTAATAGGACAAAATGTTCTATTCAAATTGTTTTCCTGTAGTAATTTTATAGTAATAGAACAAAATGTTCTATTCAAATTGTTTTAATGAATTATGTATGATCCATTTTGTTCTAGTATACTGTTCTATTTACATTTGACACATTAAGTTTCATGTTTGTATAAACGTTGCCAGATAAAGCAGCTGCGTGCAGACAGAGAGACAGACTTTTGGGACAACCTGATACTTGAAGATTTAAACTCGTTCATTGATATCATTATCCTGTGAAACGACCCGCAAGAGGAAAATGAAAAAAATGAATACAACGATCACGTCGACGAGTGAAACGTCATTCCAATAAAAGAGAAAATCGATTCGTTTGAACAAAATAAGCGGCAGAATACGAGTTAAATGGCACACAAATATCAATATAAAAATCAAATGTAAAATTCGTTAAAAATTTTCAACAATTGTGCGACCTCCGCAAAACCAATCTTCCGCAAACGAAATAAAAAATACCTAAACAAACCAGTCGGCGCAAAAACGTTGGCGAATTCAGTTTGGTTAAATAACCAACACGGTATTTGAAATAACAAAAGTATTTAATAAAAACGAACGATGCAACCAGGATGGAAGAATATCACCAAGAACTGAGAGTCTGTCAACGCACATCGATTGGCATCGTTATTTCCGGTTATCGACCACCAGGTTTCAACTTACCTATTACTTTTTTAATTATCTCCAAGTTATCGTTATGCGTTCAACGGGACCATCTTAATCGGTTTAAGGATAGCCCAGAGGAAACGAACGAAGCAACGGACGCAACCGAAATTACGACGATCGATCAGCTCCGTGGAAGTTGCTTCTGGTCTAATTATTTCGTGTTTCATTAAACCAGACCTCTTCCAGGCCCGATCGAAACTTTCTAGATTACAACGATGCCTCGACTGGCCACCCTTACCCGAGCTCTCGATGACTTGCACGACTTCCCTGACTTGCAAGGATCTTGTCCCACTTACCAACTTCCCTCGAATCTTCGTCTCCTTTCCTCGTGCGGACGTTCACGTGAGTAAACGATGAAATCAGTTTTCTCCGCTTTCAGCGGTTCCGCTGAATTGTTGCTATTTTCTAAATATGTGAAACTGAAGCTTTTCTGTACTACCTTTTTCGAGGATAATTTTGTCGTGAATTTTTCATTGCTTCAGAAGCGAATGTGTCGGTGAAATCGTTAGTTTCACGGCTAGAAGAATTTATACGCGTTTACTTAGAGAAACTTAACACTACGTTGACTGTCACGGTGGTCACCGATGACCCGTGTTTCATTCAATTCTCTAGGATAATTAAAAGGAGATGAATTTCATGGATTAGAGAAGTTTCAAGTATGCGAATGACTTTGGTAAATGACACACGGTCAGGAGCAAACAAGTGGGAAAATACGTTTCAATTGAACGTTCCAGTGTAATATATTTTCGTATATCGCAGGATAAAGCATAAAATTTGCGTGGCGGTCAACGTGTTGAAAAAAGGGAAAAGTAATTCGCGTAACGTAAAATCGTCACAACTCGGTGACTTTCATTCTTCCATTCTTTACATCTCAATTTCGCTTTTGTTTCAAACGAAAGAACAGCTTCAAATATTTGTGAAAAATCTTGGACGCAAAATTCAGACGAGAGACACGCGCATCGATGACGACTGTTTCTCGTCTTTCTCAAAGTTAACGAAATTTTCCGAGCGAAAGATACGACTGGATGGAAAGCGTCGAACAGCTTGGAAACGATTTCTTAAACGCTGCGCACCATTCGTATCTGCAAGAGTTGGCAAGCGATAACCGAGACAGCTTACAAATTTCCGCAATGGCTCCAATCCCTTATTAATCACCAGCGATCCCCTATCCCGTACAATTACAAAACATTTCCCAAGTTGCTGCTGTTCGATCCGCGCTGCATTCTCTGGAACGCGCTCCACTTCCAATCTAACTCAACCCTCTTTGCTCCAACTTTACGCTTCCAACTTCCGCTCGAACGTTCCGCTTTAGCAAACGAGAAAAGGATAACAAGTAGCAAAGACTATGCGATGGAAGGGGTGAGCCTGGTTTCTTCGAGCCTTCGGTGGCAGTTTCTTGGCCTCGGGTCGAATTTCCAGGCGAGCGATAAAATAAATCCTACGATAGGCTCGCGTGAGTGAGGAGCGGAAACGGAATCGCGGCC